AGAAAAACCTGAAACTCAGAAAAACATTTTCCATCATAAACTCTCAGTGTTACACTTTTTTTATTGTGAAAATAATTTACAGAGGGGTTACAATTTCATGGGCAAGGTAATGAGTACATTTCTTATCAAGCATTTTTGCCTCCTCTTTTCCCTTACCATCCCTTCCCATCATTCCCCTCCAGCCCCCCGCCCCAGCCAAAGTTGTAAAGTTCATTTTTCGACATAAGGTCTTGTACATCTCATTGTTGGAATGGTCCACCTTCCCCTCCACAAATTATACCTACATCAAACACAGTAAAAACAGGGGTTATACCATGGGGGAGGGATATATAAAGCAACAAAGAAATATCATATATATATATATATAAATATATATATATATATATATATATTTTATATATGTTAGAAACAATAGCAAGAAAGAAAAAAAATATGAGTCCTTATCTTGGGGTTCGTTTTGCCTAACATCAACTTATTGACCGTTTCTGCTTGTCTCAGACATATACTAGTTATTGCAAATAAGTGGAACCATGGTACTTGTTTCTTTGGGCCTGGCATACTTCACTCAATATAATTTTTCTAAGTCTTTCCATTTCCTAACGAATGGAGCCATATCATTCTTTCCGATGAATGCATGGAATTCCATTATGTATATATACCACATTTTCTTGATCCATTCATCTACTGATGGGCATTTGTGTTTGTTCCTTATCTTAGCTATGGTAAAAAATGCTGCAATAAACATAGTTGTGCTGGTACCCTTAGTAGGGTCTTGTTTGTGATCATTTGGGTAAATGCCCAGAAGTGGGATTGCTGAGTCATAAGGGAGCTCTATGTGGAGTCTTTGAGGAGCCTCCATTCTGTTTTCCAAAGTGGTTGAACAAGTTTACACTCCCAACAACAATGCAGAAGTTTTCCCTTCTGTCTATATCCCCTCCAGCATCTGTTGTTATTAGAGTTCTTGATTATAGTAGCTCAGTGGTAGTTTGTTTGCCTTGCATGCATAAGGCTCTGGGTTCAATTCTTCAGCACCGCATAAGCAGATAAAACGGGGAGTCATGCTGTGGCTCAAATGGTAAAGAGCTAGCATTGAGCTGAAGAGCTGAAGGACAACACCAGGCCTGGAGTTCATGCCCCATGACAAAATACGGTGTAAGGAAGAGTATTACTTTCTTAATCAATACATTGTGGTGAAAGAAATTTATTTCTCATAAATCAATTCCTACTTTAATATTTTTAAATTTGTAACAGTTAAGATGGGAAAAATGTCTTTACCTTTATATTAAGGAGTATTTGGATCTTATTTATGTTTTTTTCTTCTTTATATGACTCATTTTAGATGTTCCAAAAATGGAGCATGTGAATAAAACTTACCAGGAATGTACAGATGAATGTCTGCATGACGTAGCTGTCACAAATATTGACACAATAGAGCAAAGAGTGAGATTAGTGACAACTTCTAACTTGACCTCAAAACAGAAGCCAGATCTGAATAGGAATGATGAGAACTCCTTAAGGATGATTACGGACGAGTTCATTCAGTGTCAGAACATGCTCTACTACAGTGAGCCTGGTAAGATGCCGGCTGCATATATGCCTGGTGTTTCTCCTGTAGTTAAACAATTGCTTAGATAATCAAAGACTTTTAGTCAAAATTATGATGGTCCATATTTTGAATATGGAGGAGAGAAGATATTAAATTCAAAGATGATATTCTTTCCACATAATTGGGTTTGCGTCAGAGTTCCCACCTCTAACCATAATGAGTATTGAGAAGAATATGATAAATCTGCTCTTCTTGCCCAAGAACTTTGTCAGGGAAGGAGGTTTCCAGTCACTATGTGTCAGAAAAGACACACAGGAAAGAATCCTTATACAAGTAGTGAATGTGAGAAATCATTCAGTAAGGATTTACACCTTACAAAACCTGAGAGGAAATATCCAGAGAAGCCTGATGAGTATAAGCAATGTGCAAAATCTATCTCTAAGAAGTCAGAACTAAGTTCTTATGAACCTAAAACAACACCAGAAGAGAAACCCTATGAATACGAAGAATGTAGGAAATTTTCCACTCAAAAGTCAAGTCTCAGAAGGCATCACAGAACTGACAAAGAACAGAAGTTTGATGAATGCAACAAATGTGGAAAATCATTTAGAATGAAGTCATACATCACTTTGCATCAGAGAATACACACACGAGAGAAATCTTATGAATGTCACAAATGTGGAAATTATTTCAGACAGAAGTCAGTCCTTATTGTTCATCAGAGAACTCATACAGGAGAGAAACCTTATGAATGTAATGTGTGTGAAAAGTCTTTCACCTGTAAGTCACACCTTACTGTTCATCAGAGAACACACACAGGAGAGAAACCTTATGAATGTAACAAATGTGGAAAGTATTTCAGACAGCAGTTTCACCTTACTCTCCATCAGAGAACACACACAGGAAAGAAACCTTATGAATGTAATGTGTTTGAAAAGTCTTTCACCTGTAAGTCAGACCTTACTGTTCATCAGAGAACACACACAGGAGAGAAACCTTATGAATGTAACAAATGTGGAAAGTATTTCAGGCAACAGTTTCAACTTACTCTCCATCAGAGAACACACACAGGAGAGAAACCTTATGAATGTAATGTGTGTGAAAACTCTTTCACCCGTAAGTCACACCTTACTGTTCATCAGAGAACACACACAGAAGAGAAACCTTATGAATGTAATGTGTGTAAAAAGTCTTTCACCCGTAAGTCAGACCTTACTGTTCATCAGAGAACACACACAGGAGAGAAAGCTTATGAATGTAATGTGTGTGAAAAGTCTTTCACCCATAAGTCACAACTTACTGTTCATCAGAGAACACACACAGGAGAGAAACCTCATGAATGTAACAAATGTGGAAAGTCCTTCATCCAGAGTTCATACCTCAGGAAGCATAAGAGAATCCACACACATGAGAAAACTTAGGAATGTGATAACTATGGAAAGTCTCACCTGGAAGAAAAATAAGTTTGCATGATAGAACCAAAACCTGATAGAAGCCTTGTGAATGTTGCAAATGTGGAAACTTTTAGCCAGAAGGCATACCTCATGGTTCCAAATTGAATGCACACAGGAGAAAAATCTTATGAATGAAAAAAATGTGGAAAGTTTTCGAGAAGTCATAGTTAAATTTTCATCAGAAAACACACAGGAGAAAATGAAACAAGTATCAAAAAATCCTTCACTTAGTAATCATGCATGGATGAGTGTTTATAGAGCACAGACAAGAAAGGCAAGGTATGAATAATACCAATGTAGAAAATCCCACTTTGACAGGATAGCACAGTGTTCATCAGAGAACTGAATCTCATAGGAGAAAAGAAGACTTACAGGTCTAAAAAATATGCAATTTTTAATGTGAAGTCAGTCCTCAGTACATCCAAGAACATAATAAGGAGAGAAAATGTGAGTATAATAAATGTAGACAAATATTTAGCCAGAAGTTTCAGAGGTTTCTCTACATATTTCAGAGACCTAGAGACAAGACAGAATGTCAAGTGAACATTAGAGGACATCTTTCAAGCAGAAATGAACCTTCAGCGAGCATTAGAGCACTCACACAAAAAAGAAGCCCAATATACGGAAACCTTTGACAGAAACCTCTGTAAATTATAGAGAAATCCTTCATGGCAGAATTAAGCTAGGTGTAAGGGGAAACCACTCACTGAGCCAACATTTCTCATCCTCTCATTGTGTAGAGTAGGGATGATGCCCCTTCATATTATTCAGGGGTTGGACCAAAGGGATGGGTATCAATTACTTCCAGGCTTGAGAAAAAATTAAGATAGTGAAATTGTTGACTTGTGCCTTTTTATTAAGGAATGGATGTTCAAGGAAATTTAATAAACACTTCTCAGAAATAGGAGCTCTGGACCTTTGAGATTGAACTCAAATCTTCCAGACTGGTTTGGTATTGATAGATGGGAAGGACTATCATGCTTTAATCCAAGGACATGAGAGCATCAATTTTTCCACTGCTCCCCAAAAGTCTTCCACTATATGTGTGGTCTATGTATGCATTATAACACTATTACTATTCCAATTCATTTTTTAATGCAATGTCTGTTGGAAGATAATACTCCTTGTTTATTACAAAATGTACACAAGAATAAAATCTTTCTCATCATCTTTCATCCCCAAGTTCATGAAACATTCAGAGAACCTGAAAGAATACATATTTGGGAATACATTTTCTTTGTGTGTGGGTACAAGTCTTGTAGATTGAACTCAAAGCCTAGCCACTTTCCTTACCTTCTTTTTCTCAAGGCTAAATTCTAGCACTAGAATCACAGTTCCATTTCTAGTTTCTTTGGTGGAAAAATGAAGACATGATTCTTAAGCATTTGGGTTTGGATGAGTAATGCCAAAATGATTTTACTACATGCTGTTTTCTATTTACTACTGATGAGTCTGTTGTGAATTTTTAACATGTAGACCATGCTATTGTTCTTCTGAGTAATAAAACACTAGTGTGGATATTGTGGAGAGTCTGTGTTTTCTCACTGTTATGGAGGGTGAAAGTGAATTTCTCAAGAGGACAATATTGCTTTTTCTAGTTCCAAATTTCTAGTTCTATAACAAATTATAAGTTATGGTTTTGCTAAATTTAATTCTGTAGCAAGTTAAAAAAAACTAGGCTCATGGAAAAAATGATGGACAAAAGCTAGCTAGAATACTTACAGATATCAATGGGATTATAGAGATAAGTAGAAAGAGGCAGGATTGTGCTAGGTATTTGGCAGGGTAAAATACAGGCGAAAATGATCCTTGTGGGCTGCCTGGCATCACATGACAGGGGTGCCTGGGTGGAGAGAACTGGTCCAGGTGCTCTGAGGGAAGCCTAGTGAAGAGGGGGAGGGTGTGAAGGTGGCTTTCACAATAAATTTCCTTGGATGTTTTTGAGTCCTATAAACATCCCCCCCTTAACTGACCAGGATAGGGGTCATTACATCATGCTATATGTCTGTTCATGTCTTGACTCCTGTTTACTAAAAAATTTCTTCTTGTTGGCAGTTTTTTGTTTTGAACTAACTATGTGGTTCTACCATGATTAGGCAAAATATTACTGCTAAAATTCCAAAAACTTTAAATGGCCAATTTTAGCATTTAAGAGTGCTTTATAATCTGTGCACAAACATCTCTGTCTGTCTATATGTAATATATGTAAATAGTAATGGTTCCAAATTTACCAAGTATTCTGCTTGCTAAAAACTTTGTCAGTGGAAGCTGTCGTTTAATCTGAGTTGCTTGGTGACCTGACTATAAGCCAAATAAAAAACAGGCAGTTTTAAAAGGCCGTGGGAAAGGAGTTAGAAAAGATGGTTTCCTTTCCAAAGTCAATGAAATTGGTAATTAAGTTGGCTGTGATTTATGTTATTATGTCTATCTATGCTAAGATTAAATATTGTACCTCTGACCATGACTGGTAAACTAAGCCTAAGGTTTTAATTCTCTGTTTCCTCTGCTGTGCACTGATCAACTCCCTTTATAATCAAGGGACCACAGTGTGTCAAGATGCAGTTTTGCTCCTATGCATGGGAAATACCCACGTAACAGAACAAAGTTGTCAGAGCTGCCTAAACCAGTGACACCTGCCTGCAAAAGCCAGTTTGGTCTTTCACCAGTGGTCTTTAACTAGTGCATATAGAATTTTGCAGGTAACCAGCAAGAGATGCGACAGTCCATACACACTGGGAGATGCCACATCCTTGCCTAGACTCCAGCCTTGCTTAATCACACATGATGAAAATCCTGTGAATTTGCGGTAAAAAGAGAATTAAAAAAACAAGCCAGTTAAGATATTTGTTTCTGGATCGAAATAAAAAGATATTAGTTTCTGTAATGTTAATCACCACCATGTTAGACCATAAGGGGTGTATGAGCAAAAAATCTAAGTTGACTTATCTCTAAAGGGCAAGAGATAATAAGTCTAGATTCTTGGTACAGATCTACTGCATTAAAATAAACTGCTAATTTGCTGAATGTAACTCATACTGTAGGAAAAAATAGCCAGTTTAAACCTTCAGCCAAGAGGTAAAGGGTGTTGCCCAGTGTATCAATGAAGAATTTAAATGCAAAGTAAAATGACTTTTCAAAAAGATTTAAAAATGGCCTCCCCATTGTCAGAAATTTGTGACGTTGTGGCGAGTGGCAGGCCTCCCAGAAAAAGGAAAGTTTAAAAGGAAAAAATTGTCCTAAAGGTTGATTTCAACGTGGAAAATAAAAATTAGGATTACCAAAATGATTGTTTAACCTACTTTGCCATTATAGGTTTTTTATAACAGTTTCCTAAACGCTCACAATTAAGGACACAGGACAAGTTTGTCAGATGGAATGTTGGCCCTGAATAAGTTCGAGGTAAGACCATGCTTTTAAATCTCCTTCCAGTGCCCATCGTTGTTGCTTTTACTTGGAGTAAATGTGGCCATAAGTAAAGACTCATTAAGCTGAAAAGTGGTGTGAAGACAGGTTGGGCAAACAAAGGTGCCTGTGAGATTGTCATCTCTAATGTGCCAGCAGAGTGCTCAAAAGCATAGTTGGTTTGGAGTTCCAAGTGGCAGTTGGCTAGTCTTGATCTGGAGAGTTGAGGGACAATACTCAAACCCTGAGTTCAAGTCCAGCAAGCAATGAAGGAAACTCCTAACAAGTATTTATGCCACCATGGAGAAAGGCATTCCTGGAACCCCGGGAATGTAGGAACATGCAGAGGCAGTAAGCCACTGCTCTTTGGATGGCAGAGATGGTATCAGATCCTGGAGTCACTTCTGCTTGGCCCTTCAAAGCTTGATCAGAGTCCAGAAGTCATGGGAAGATAATTTGTAGGCATGCCTCATGCCCATGTCTGTCTGACTTGGCAGGGACTTGCTAGTCATCTATGGTACTGGGTTATAAAAGCTAAAGTTGTAAAATGTGAGTGACAATTGAAATCCCAAACACTGTATCTGCTCAAAGTCTTAAATGGCAATGACTTTTGAGCTGGCCCAGCCACATTAATTTATCCGTTAAGGAAAAGTGGTTGTAACCTGAGATCAGGTCCCTAGTAAGATTTGTCTAAAGGCCTACAGGGGCAGGCATTTTTGGAACCACTACAGATCAGGCTCCTCAGTCAACCAGAAAAATGCATTTACAAACCAAAATGTTAAACAAGATATACTGCTATAGCCCAAGAAAGGGTCTGACATTTGTTAAAGGTTAAATGTTGTATGACTTTAAACAGGCTGCCCAGAGGCAAGGGGCAGTACTTAGAATGTCAATCAGTTGTAGTTTAAAATATGTACTGAGTTTTACTACAAAATTCTGACAAGCAATTGTTAGTCAATTATTAACAAGTTATAGGCAACCTCTATCTCATTGATCTCCTTGTTTCTTGAATTGGAAATATAAAGGGCTTTTATGACAAAGATTCCTTTTGCCACAGTTCAAAGTCATCCTGGGTACAAAGAATCTGTCTAAAACTCCTCTTCCCAGCTAATCATCCAAGAGCCAGGCTGGAGATATGGCTCAAGGGACTCTCACCTCCAAGGAACTCTTAGGTGGTAGAGCATTAGCCTTGAGCAGAAGTGCTCAGGAAAAGTGACCACACCTTGAGTTCAAACCCAGTCAATGCCAAGTAGGACTACCTATCCCAGCAACAGACATTGAGACCCCCCAGGACAAATTTAGTCCAGACAATGGAAAACTATGGAGAGGATTAAGAGGAGATTACTTCTTAAATGGATTTACTTTATGATTGCCCTTTCCAAATTAATCAGAGCAGGGAGATCAAGAGAAATAGTTGCTTGCCCACCTAATGTCCATACTTGTCTAACTTGTTAGTGGACAGAAACTTCCAGTGTTGCTTTGTTCCCTGCTATTTGTATTTATAGTAGCCTCTGACTGGTATTCCCAAGCAGTCCATTATGTTCTCTGCTACCTGGTTGCCCAAA